GACTAGTCAGCAAAAGCCAATTTGTCCTGTTACGTATGTGTTATGCTCTGAAATCTCAAAGCACATGGTGGAAACAGAGTATAAGCAGTATCTGTATATTGTATGAGAGAATTGCTTCAAAGTTCCAACCTGGAGGGACACAAGCGTATATCCTCCATGAAGCTATGGCACATGGGACACCCCTCTTGCCTGAAACTCCTAATCCAAGCCCAGATTTGGGGTAAGAAAGAGAGATGATTTACAAGAAAGAGAGATCTTTTGTAACCCTTTTAGAAGATATTTGATTCAGGAACATTGTAGATTAGTTTTGGGAGGGGATGTGTGTCTCAGCACTGTGTGTACATGTGTTGGCACTAAAATAATTGACACTGTTTTAGGTTTGAGAAATACAGAATGAGCAACAGCAGACAAATATTGTTATCATAGAGTTTATATTCCAATGGTGAGAAGCAACAAACAGAAGAAAAACATGTAGTGCATTATATACAGTGATATGGAAAAGCATAGCAGGAAAGGCAGATAGAAAGTGCTAGGCTAGAGAGAAAATTTAAATAGGCATGCCAGGTAAGGACTCAATAAACAAGTAACATTTTCTCAATTATATTCTGAAGGTGAGGGGACAATCCAAGTGGACATCTAGTGGAAAGATAGTTCTAGGCAGAGAGAACAGAAAGTGTGCAGGACACATTCATGGACCAGCAGTGTGACAAGGACACCCAGCAGAGTGAGCAAATGAGAGGACACAGAAATAGGTCACAGAAGCACAGTCTCGAGTGTGTTGGACCTTGTGGGCCACTCTGGTGGAGTCCTGCTTCCACTTGGAATGAGATGAAAAGCCACTGAATGTTTTGAGCTGAGGAATGGTGTGAAATGACATATTTTTAAAGATACACAGTGGCTACTATGTTGATAATAGAAGGGGGAAGGAGCAAGAGTAGAAGCAGGGAGGCCATTAGATTACTGCAATTATCTGGGTAAGAGATGATGGCGGCTTGGTTAGTCCAAAGATGTTAAGTACCTTGCCCAAGGTCACAAAACTAGTACATGATGGAGCTAGGATTTGACATGAGATACCAGCTACTGCTGGATATTAAGAATTTTCAGATGAATAATACCAGGAAGCAAATATTAAAGTTTCCACTTTGAAAAAGTTATAAAAAGGTGTGTTTATTTCACCTCGCCACTCTCTCATTAAGTTGGGAAGTCTCTAGGCTTTTGTGGCAATATACTGCTCGCTTCTGTGTACATATATTCAAAGCATCCACACAACGTTCAGATATATTGGATACAGGCTGTGAAAGAAAGAGGAATCAAGGATGACTCCAAGGTTTTTAGTCAGGAGCCTGAAAGTCATCTTTGACTGTGATGGGGAAGGTCAGAAAATAGATTTTAGACAAGGAGGAGGTGCCCACTAGGCATACAGAGATGGCAAGGAAGTTATTAATATGAAAGTCTAAGAGGCCCATTCTGAGTGCCCCAGGTGAAAGGATGCTAAATATTTTGATTACCATGAACTCCTAAGTATTTTGAATATTACTTTTGATAATGTCTATTAATTGGTATTGCAGTTGTCAGGCTCACCAATTTAGTATATAATGCACATTTCCAGGTATACTTTTACTGAAAAGCCACTTTGACCATGTTATTCCTTTGCTCTGGGTTTAGTAGCTCCCCATGGCCTATTCAATAATGTCAAATTTTCTTAATCTGAAATTTAAGGCCCCTCACAATTAGCTCCAAGTCAATTTTAGATATACTACATGAGCGTGGGTTGTTAGCATCCTTCATACTTAGATTTGTCCTCTGTTCCTTTTAAATTGCTCCACTTACAGTAGTTTATCTCACCTTCTCCATCTGTCAAAATCCTTTCTACCCTTCAAGGCCCAGGAGAAACTTCAACTCCTTCCATAACTATTAAAACTGAGAACGAGCTCCCTCTGAATTCCTACAGGCAGACACACATGGTGTGAGCATGCGGATGTGTATGTGTGAGTGTGTGTCTGTGTGTTAACTTCACTGCAAGTGGGGGCCTTTGCTTATTTTTCTTTGGAGCCAACTCAATGCCAAGTGCATAGTAAGTGAAACATAAATGATTGAGGGCCCTTTCCTTTTGTCATATTATTTGCTGTATAAATAGGTTGATCGATAGGTCTCTATCTTTAAGGTTAGATTATTATTAATACTAAGCTCTTATATGCATTATTACAATAGCAAGAAAGACACTTTTGGCCCCTTAGGAAGAGGACACTTTTACTCTACTTGTTTTATAAATCTTGAGCCGTAGGGGCCTGAGCATGATGTACAGAGTCACAAGCAGTGAGTGGTAGTGCTGAGATATGAAACTACATGGCCTGACTCTAGCGTGGCTGCTGGGTACTCTCTCACCTACGTAGATGGCACATTCACTTAAATATTCATGCAAATCAATTCAGGAAGCAAGGAGGTTTTCAACCCTTATTTTGAAAAGATAGTAAGGAAAGAGACATGTTTATTTTACCTCCAAGAATTTATAGAAATGTAATTTCCTGTCTTGGCTAGTTTTGAGAGAATTATCAACTCAAATGATAGTTACAGACCAGTGACTGGTCCTTTCCTTCACCAGTATTTCTCTTTGTTAATTATTTTCTGCTCTATTTTTGTCACTTGAGCAATGTGGACTCTTCAAAATCACCTTGGAAACATGAAGTGACCTGTCTGTTTTCTGGGAGTTATTGCAGCTAGTAAGATTTCTCATGAAACAAAGCTTGAGTAAAAGTCATACTCTGAAAGGACATAGCTCTCACATGTGAGAGCGGGAGAGGTGAGGTGGGGAAGTCATGTATGGCAGAGAATATCCAGCTCCTTCCTAGCACTGACCTAGTGCAAGTTCCCTGTTCCTCAAGTGAAACTTGGGGTTCTCCAGAAGAATTATAGTTCGTTCATAAATCACCACATGCTCTCTGGAGCTAATAGAGAACTTGTTTAGTATGAAACTGCGTAGCAGAAGAGGCAAAGGAATTGTATGACAAATACAAAGGCATGGGATTTCTGGTCCATAGAAGCCATTATACCACAGTGATGCAATGAGTGTGCAAAAGGGGACCATCAGTACAGAGGAGACCCTAAAACAACAGTGCCAAGCATACCACTTCCTGGCAGGAAAGTACTCTTTCAGACTACTTCCCTAGGTCGCTGTTACCACATCCACTAGGTTATTTTTACCTAATACACAGATAAGGCTGGTGGGAACCTTAAGCTATATATAATTACATTGTATGTGTGTGTGTTTATCTGTGTGTTTGGAGGGAAAGCATTTATATATTATAGAATTTTTTTTTTCTTTTTTGATGAGCAAGTTTTAGTGTTAATGAAGTGTCAGTCTCTAGGAGATCTCTGCTTATACCCTCTAAAACAAGATCATATGTGAATCATAAGTCTTACTTTTAGAACTCTGAACAATTTAATTCCCACCTGTACTTTTAGATATTGCCTTGAGGAAATGCCACCTCCATTTCACTTAGCAGACTCTCAAAACAGACCAAGAAACTAGCAGAAAGTAAAACCACAAACACACATACAGCAGAAAGCCTGTAAAGTTGGTATATTCAATTTGTTCATTCAGCAAAATGTGTTGAACACCTGCTCCATGCCATGGTACTGAGGCTAACGAGTTGAACATTCACACACGAACATGTAAATAAGCTATTGTAAATGCTACAGAAAGCATTCTGCTTGGTTGGTTAGAGTCAAATGAAGTCAGGGGTCAAGAGAGGCATTAGCTAGGTTTTCCAGGTCCCTGGTTGGAGAGGGGTCTGCTCCCCGCAGAGAGCACACCACGTGTTAGGGAGGAGGACTCATTTCAGGAAACAGGGAATTCAATATGCTGGAGCATAGGAAGAGTCGGAGAGTGGTAGAAAATATGAAGGAGAAAAGGGAGAACCAAGTCTTGGCCATCCATTATTACCTTTTCAGGAGTTTGGATTTCAGGAGTGCTAGGATTTATCCCACTTACATGTAACCATCTCATTAGAAAATCTAAAGAAAAATGTAAATTAAGTGATTGACTGCAAATTCTTTTCTCATTTCAGCAACACTTGCTTGCTTTCCTGTATTTGCGCCATGTCTTTTGCTGCCCCTCGTCCACGCCCAGAATGAGGTCTTCTGCGTCACCATGACTCAGTTGTGTAGCTCCAGGCATCCATCTTCCCAGGCTTTCATCTGTACTACCTGACTAGTGGTCCATTGCCTCAATGCCCTGTAAAATAACAAGTCAACTAATTAGGGCTGAAATGTTAGTGCAAAAAAAGATTTAACTACAAATGGGTCATGGAGAAAATCTGGATTTGACCTATGGAAAAGACAGTCTTAAACTTGAGAAAGAATATAGAAGATTAGCTTTGCAAACAATGCCCATTCTCTTTTTAATAAATTTTCTCCTGTTGTTTCATAGGAATCAGTAGAACTTATAGAATAATGTATAACTCATTAAAGTTCCACAAGGCTCAACTCAGGCCTAGAATGCACTGCCAGAAAATTTTGCCTTAAGGGAAGCAAGGAACCACGCCGTCAAAAAGTCAACAGTTACCTAATTGCTCTGGGAAATACAATGAAGTTATGGCAGTTAGGCTACTGAGCAACGACTTGGTTTGCCCAGGCTTTCTGCGGTAACTTCCTCCTCCACTGGGAGAAGCTGCCAGTAAAGGAAGGATGACAATTTACATACCCTAGCAAGGCTAATCTGCCTCCCGACTTAGTCACAGCCTGCCTACTTGAGACATCCTGGGAAATCCCTATTTGGAAGAGAAGAAATGTTAAAGTCACAGTTGTGCTTATAACCTTATTCTCTGCAATCCACATACAGAGTCACTTCTGTTCATTTTTAATGAAACACTATTGCCTGTTGCTGTTACTTTCTGTCATGAGTTAACTTTGTGGTCTTCTAAAAACTTTGTATATTTGGTCTCACTTTAAAAGACACCGTAAGAGCCATTTTCTTCCTTTTTTTCTTTCCACTTTCCAAGTCTCCAGGAAAACCAGATCCCATGGCACATTGCATACAGGGCACAATCACGAGCGCTGCGGAACGTTCCACGGAGCAGGCAGAGGTAAGAACGCCTTCATAGGGGATGAACTGACCATTTCTAGCATTGAGAGCATTTCCAGTGGTTAGCTATGCAATGATTAATAAGAGTGGATTAGATATTTTTGCTAGTTTGCTTTCTTTGACTAAAATCTGCTCTACATTTTTCACCAATGTTATTAAACAAGGAAAAATATCTGGGTGATTGTCACTATTTCCTTGGACTCTTCTGAGCTATGTTTCTTCTTTTACAAAGTAAGATTAAATCCTGTTCAAATTCCTTTCAGCAACCCAGTTCTATGGGTGACATGTTTTGGTGTTGATTTAGAAGAATTTGGTTCAATGTAAAATTTGGAAAGAATATTATATTGTCATGATTNATATATATATATGCACAATGAACAGCATAGTTTTGTTTGGTTATTGATTACTGCAACAGATGTTTACTAAGTAAACCAGTGAATGAATAAAAGTGCTTTCTTAAATTTTTTTTTTTAAATAGCCAAGGTATAATGGAAACTACGTGGAACACTTATGTTCATTTAAGTATTTAATTTAGCAGAGTCAGAACTTTAGAAGTTGATCTGGGTGTTGTGGTGAATGAGAAAGAAATGCCTAGATACTTTGACCACAGATTACACTGTATGTATTTGTGAGGCCCTTAGTGTAATTGTTAGGCCCTTAGTAGAACCAATGACTGAAAATCTTTATATTTATTTCAACATCAGATACCTGATTGGCAACCAGAAAGCAAAGCAAATATAAATGAAAAGGTTTCACAAAAACTTGTGCTTGAAGGATTCCACTTCATTTTAATACACACCTGAGAAATATGAACTGTGGTAAAATGATTCATCTCCAAAGACACCCCTGGATACATTTATGGCTTCCAAGCCATTCTTATTACTGCGTGCTTTTCTCTCTCTCTCTTGCAGATTTATTACCTAGCTGTTCAGAACTCTCATTTATAAAATAAACATCAAGGGTTATTTCTAGAGAAAATTATATATGACATAAAGAAAAAGCACACTATTCAATTGCTCTTAATATGAATTCCCAGAACGCAGGGTCATACAAATGTTTGCTAGTCAGACTTTTTCTCTACATCACAAATAGAAGACTTTTTGAGGACCCCAAATCCCTGTTCCCAAGCATGGTCTGGAATGGGAGAAACTTGAACTTTAGTATAAATCATGTTAATCTGTGAAATGTACTGAAAATAGAGATGAGAAAAATAGGTGGACACAAAGGATTTTTAGGGCAGAGAAACTATTCTGTATGATACTATAGTAGTACATATATGTCATTCTACATTTGTCAAAACTCATAGAATGTACAACACAAGAATGAAGTCTAATCTAAACTATGGATTTGGGTGATGTGTCAATGTAGGTTCATCAATTGTAACAAATGCACCTCCCTGGTGAGAGATGTTAGTAATGGGTACACATGTGTGGGGATAGCAGATATGTGAGAAATACCTGTATCTTCCACTCAGTCTTGACGTAAACTTAAAACTGCTTTAAAAAATAAAGCCTATTAAAAAGGAAATGGGTGTTCAGTGGCTACTTTATTAGAAATTCTGTTGCGGCGTTCAGGGTGCCCTATATGTAGAAGCTCCCCTGATGACTCTGGTGTGCTGCTGTGGTGAGAACCACTGGTCTAGACCCAGCTGCACTGTGCCTCTGTTTTGTTGAGCTCTGAGCACACTAGGTAGATTGGCTCAGCATTTTCCAGATCAAAGGTGCCTAATATTTAGTCTGTTCTGATCCAGAGTGAGTTCGGTTTCTTAGAAGTCTTCTTAAAAAAGGGAAAGCCCAATTTTAAGACCCACCATCAGCATCACCTGGATTTTGATGTTATTTCTGGCAATCAGCCAAACCAGCCTCTTGAGGTCAGAAACAGGTATTATCATTCTGAATTTATTGACCCACAGAAGAATGTCTCTTTTAAAATGTGGCCTTAATTATACATGAATCTGAATAGGAAGAAGTTAAGAAAACTGAGAACAACATCTATAGAGACGTAAAATATCAACCCTAAAACATTGTGTGAGACATAGGTAAGTAGTAAAAAGATAGAAAAATAGTTTTATAAATCATTTGTAATGAGCAAAGTCCCTGAAATCCCATGATGGTTGCAAAAGAACATTTCCTGTAAATGTTTCTGGCAAAGGCCGACACATTTTGAAAATATTTCTTAATTGTTCTTGAATATATTTAAGCAATTTTGTGGTCCACAGTAAGTGCTCAGCCTGACACTGAATGGCATATTTAGGGACTACCCTCATCACCCAATTCTTTGTCTGATATGACTCAGTGATGACATGGGAACAAAACTATTGCATTAAAATTGAGAAAACAGCACTTAGGTGAGCTTTGTTGGTGGTCAGTTTAGACAAGTGGCAGTCAGTTTTCAGAGCTTTAATGCTTTCTTTAAATCAATACCCCCAATGCTAAAAGAGACAAAACAAAGCCTGAAAAGAAAGGTTAACTTTTTCACTGTGCCAATGATGTATTATTAATCCAAATTTGTAACCTCTTGGCTTTATTCAATGGGCTGGTTATGATTACAAAGGACTGGATAATCTCTGCCAGCCTCTTAAACATAACTGTATGATGGTCACCGAGGTAGTTAACTTACTGTTTTAGGGTCTGTCTGCTGTCTTTTAGATGGATGTGGTCGTCTTTTTTTCTTGATGCTTCTGTAATTCCTCTGACTTTTGCTAGGGCCACTTTCAGATTGTGGCCACATCCACAAAAATAACTTTTTAGAAATGTTTGTTATGTAAATACCTACAATGTGCCCATGAAACTTAGCTGATATCTATGAGCATTATATTCTGAATTTTCAATTTTTTTTGGAAAAATGATTGAAATTGAAACTCATGAAATCCCAATTTGTTAGTTGCCTATTGTATAGATACATTTATAATTTACTAGATAATTGTTTTGATAGTTAATTCACATAAAGGATTCTAAAATATAAAGTTTATTCATAAACAGGCCTCTGTGAAGGACTATGGTGTTAGGATTATTACTGTTAGAATAAGATATTTTTATAAATCACAGCACAAGATTAGCCAAATACATGGAGTTTGTGAAGCACAGCATTGCTCCTGTTTATTTTATACACTATTTTGTGTCACTGTTTTTTTTTAGGGTGCTCAATCATCAAGCAGAAAGAACTTGACAGATTCTCTAGAACAAAAGATAAAGTGCTTGGAAAAACAGAGAAAAGAGGTAATGTTTTAAAAGCAAATGTTTTTTTCTTATTCACCTACATTTCTCTTTGTCAGTGTTTGTGCACATGATTGAAAACATGAGAAAGTCATAAATCTAATAATTATAATCATAATTTTCTCAAAACTTAGATGTTTTCTCCACATGGACCATGTGAGCTTATCACCTGTGCCCTTTATGCCTTGCAACTTGACATACCTTGAAATTCAAACTGTCAGAAGGCTTTAAGTATAGTAATTTAGGTGCAATGACTCCATACATTGGGCATCTGACCACACAAGGGTTAAGGAACATTATCATAAAAAATGTTTGTTCTTAAAATATTGTTGGGAATGTGATGGATATTTTGAGTTCTGTTTTTCTGAGTTTAATGAATGTTAGAACATCTTTATTCTTCTTGACAAAGAAAAAGAGGAGAAAAGTGTAACAAGTTTAGCACTGTACATATTGGCAACTTTTTCATTCCTTTTCCAAACCATTCTATATGTTGTATCTTACATGTTCTTTTCTATGGTGCCTTCTGCAACTTTTTGATACTGCAAAAAATACGCCCTTCTGGAAAATTACTGAACTATAGCAGAGTAATGTTACTTCAGCGTAGAAATGTTAATCCCTAAAATGTCAACAGATCAGGTATCTTTGTATAATAATACTATACAGTCTTATACTAAATAGGCATCTATTTCCAGATAACTTACCTAACAACTGCTTGCTTCTCTAGATTAGATATTTTATTTTGTAATTAGAAGAAAGACCTACTATTTTTTAGTCATTGTGACTATCTTCTCAATATCTGTCATATTGCTATGGTTGGGGTTTCTCTTAGTGTAGGAAGTAGCAGACTTCCCTTTCAAGAAAAATAATGCACACGTCATAATGTTTTTCCTTCCTTCCATCTAGTGCATGGTTTTAAACCTTCCAAATTATTTGAAGCCTGATTTATTTCTAAATATTGTCTTATGACAGAACTATTATTCCTTGAAAATCAATACTTTCAGAGGTGATATTATCCATTTATTGAGTATATATTACAAATCATGAGTTTATTTTTTTATTTTTATTTTTTATTAAGGTATCATTGATATACAATCTTATGAAGGTTTCACATGAGCAAGATTGTGGTTATTACATTCACCCACATTATCAAGTCCCCCCCACACAAACAACCCACTGCAGTCACTGTCCATCAGCATAGTACTATGCTACCAAAAAACTACTTGTCTTCTCTGTGCTATACTGCCTTCCCTGTGACCCTTCTACTTTATGTGTGCTAATCACAATATCCCGTAGTCCCTTCTCTGTCCCTCTCCACCCACCCTCCCCAAGCCCTCCTCTTTGGTAACTGTTAGTCTTTTCTTGGAATCTGTGAGTCTGCTGCTATTTTGTTCCTTCAGTTTTGCTTTGTTGTTATACTTCACATTTGGTGCTTGTCTTTCTCTGCCTCTGCCTGGCTTATTTCACTGAGCATAATACCCTCTAGTTCCATCCATGTTGTTGTAAATGGTAGGATTTGTTTTCTTCTTATGGCTGAATAATACTCCATTGTGTATGTGTACCACATCTTCTTTATTCATTCATCTACTGATGGACACTTAATTTGCTTCCATATCTTGGCTATTGTAAATAGTGCTGTGATAAACATAGGGGTGCATATGTCTTTTTGAATCTGGGATCTTGTTTTCTTTGGGTAAATTCCTAGGAATGGAATTCCAGGGTCAAATGGTATTTCTTTTTTCAGTTTTTCGAGGAACATCCATATTGCCCTCCACAATGGTTAAACTAATTTACATTCCCACCAACAGTGTAGGAGGGCTCACCTTTCTCCACATCATTGCCAGCATTTGTTGTTCCTTGTCTTTTGGATATGAGTTTATTTTTAAAAGCATAATACTGCAAGCAAATGATTATCAGTTAATGGGATTTGGAGCTTGTTATTATATATTCTGCTTTAAAAAGCGGGGATAAGTAGTCCATTATAATAATCAATGTAAGCATACTGAACAATATGGAAAGGCTTGAAAAAATATTCTTCATATGTTAATACATCTTACAGGAAACTATCAATACTTGGAATTTTTTAACCAGCTTTTGGTTGGATTAAACAAAGAAGATGAAAATTCAAATGACTAAGCAAAGTTAAAAGTTGCTAACTGTTCAGTTGACCGTTCAGTTAATAAACTGTTCAACTGCCCATAAACATGCTGGCCTTAAGATATATACCTAAGAGTATATAGTTTTTCATATGTAAACCTTAGGAAAAGGTGAGTGTGTGTTTAATTAAAGCCCTAACAGAACTTGAAAGGAATACTGTCTTCACCCATAGCTTCCAAAATCTTAGTAACCTCAGTAACGGATTTCATTTTGGCCAAATTTCCAAATGGGTAGAAACCCTTTGTTGATCTACCAAATTTTAATAATTTCAGCTCCTGGAAGTTAATCAGCAATGGGATCAGCACTTTAGAAGTATGAAAGAGTCATATGAAAGAAAGGTAAACACCTCTCTCTGCTGGCTATTTGTTTTAAATCAATAAGCTGGGGGAGCCAACTGTGTGTAGATTCTCACTGATTTCAGCTGACAAGATTTGTGGGTAGTCAACTGTTGAAAAATAAATGTGGGGCATGGTACTGAGTGTAATATTTGCCCCTTGGTACTGAAGATTAATGAACGATATAGTGAATTGTCTTGAGCAGGGCAAATGAAAGGAACTAAAGGGACAAAATTAGCGTGTAGTGATGACCCTGGAGTTCTTGTGCACATTATCACAGCTCACAGAGTATCCTGGCCTCTGCTTTGTTACTAGCAGCTATAAACACACAAGGCTGTAAGTGAAGTGAAAGGTGGTTTGAAGTTCATATTGTTTCATGCAAGGCTACTGCCCTAATTCTTTCATTAGAGAGTATAAACCATTTTCCATGGATAAAGAAACAAACCGTTTTGATGGTGAACATGTGAGGGAATACGGGCAACCTGTCTTCTCTCTAAAGCATGTTATCTGTTAAGAAGATTTTGCTTGGTGAAGAAGAAATTTTTTGGACAAAATAGAATTTAATAGGTAAAAGTTAATTTAAAAATTTAAATTTCATGTTCAAAAAGAGAGAAAAGAGAAAGCAAATTCCCCTAAATAATTCATAATTAAGAAACTTGACCGCAAGTGAGTAACACAGCAGTCCTGAGCTCTTCTTCCCCATTTGAACTCCGAGGTATTACATTTAGGAAGTGCAGGATAATGTTCCCACTACACCAGGCCACGGTCAGGCCAACTTGTTACATTCAGCCTGGGGCAGCTTTTGGGTCCATCTCCAAATTCTAAAGAATAGTGGTCCCTGAGTAAAAGAGCCACATCCTTGAATGGCTTGCAGATTCAGGAGGACTTGGAATTAACAGTGGGTCTAACGCCCACCTCCGATGAAGCGCCCTCTCTAAGGCTTCTCTCACCTGGCGGTTGCCACTCTGAAAACGAATTCGGCATTTAGACCAGGTCAAGCACTGTAGGTCACCGATGAACAAAGGCCGCATCAGTGTTTCTCTGTAGGCACATTCGCTTACCCTCTAGCCTCCTGCCCTTTTCAGGATCAGACAAGGCACTTCTGGAGAGCTGAGAATAGAATGAACAGCCTAGAAGCGTCTCTTTATAAGGTCTAAATTTTCATCCCTTTGGAAGTGCTGTGTGGTTTGGGCAACAAGGGATTTGGGCTGTAGGCTGTTCGGGTATTTGTTTTTTCAGGTAGAGGAAGCTCCTTTTTAAATGCAAATATCGTCATCTTTGTTAGGGGCGGTGGCACGGGGACGTCCTCCTTCGGGGACGCCCTGAAGTTGGGGAGTCTGGCCCTGAGCAGGGGCTGGGAATCAGTCCCGGGCTGTGCTGCCTCCAGGGGAGGTTATGTGCAACCGTCCGTGAACGGCTTCCTCAGGTCGCAGAGCTGAAAACGAAACTGGGCGCGGCAGGAAGACTCCTGGGCACGCTGGAGACGGAGCGGCAGCAGAGGCGGGGCGAGAGCGAGCGGCAGCGCGACCTGACCCGCGAGCGGCTGCGGCGCGAGGAGGTGGGCGCGGCCAGGGCGCCGTCCCCAGGCCTCGGGGCCGCGGCCGGCCACCGGCTGCCTTCGGGAGCTTGTCCTTTCAGTAACATCAACCCCCTGCTGAGCGGGCACCGAAATGCGAGGGCCGCGGGCAGGCGAGTCCCCAGGGCCACCCATCAGGACCGCCTCTCAGACCCGGGGAAGGCGGTGCTCTGCCCGCTTCCTCCTCCCTTGCCCGAATTTGCTGGGTTCTATGAGCAGAGAGCACTTTCCCATAGCTTTGTGATATCATTATAGGGCATTTCAGCTTGGGAGAAAATTAATTTTTTTATTTTTCTTTTACTCCTATCTATTATTTTTGTTACATGTTCATAATAATATGACAGTACCTTGTATTTGTACAGCTGATTTTTTTTTCTAGTTTTACAAAAGGTATTGCTGTGTAATCATAAAAATAGAACATTTGAAAAAGTACTTCACCCTCATTATCTGATTTAACGTTCTCAGCCCACCTGTGAGGAAGACAGTGTTTTGGCCATTTTAGAAATGAGAAAGCTGAGATGTAAAGAGGTCACAAGACTTGCCAACGTTACTGACATAGCAACTGGGAAATGGGACTTGAAGCCAGTCTCCAGGTTCTAGGGCTCCTTTAACCCCCACTGAGAAAGAGATGGTGGCAACTGAGGTGACAGCTTCTCCTAAAATATACTCTTGGGTTTACTTTAAGTTACAAGACTTCATGAATATTGTAGAAAATGGAAGGAAAACAAGTTCTTATGGCTTCATTTTTTTAGATATGTTAAGAAAAAAAACAACTGTAAATGTTTTCAGGTGAAGTCTTGTGACTGATACTACGAGGCACTGGCTGTGTTTTTAAAGTGTGCACAAATCTTAGCACAGTGTCTAAAAAATCAGTACAGACAACATCAGTCCAGGTTTTCTTATCTCGCTAAGGATATCTTTGTGAGAGTCAGAGGAAAACAAACAAGGCTTAGCAACTCCCTTTTGGCCGTGTAGTAGTCCTTTCCCTTTCCATTTACTCCCTGACCAGGAATCATAGCAATTTTTCCCTCATAGGAAATGGGACTTGAAGCCAGTCTCCAGGTTCTAGGGCTCCTTTAACCCCCACTGAGAAAGAGATGGTGGCAACTGAGGTGACAGCTTCTCCTAAAATATACTCTTGGGTTTACTTTAAGTTACAAGACTTCATGAATATTGTAGAAAATGGAAGGAAAACTTAAGTTCTTATGGCTTCATTTTTTTAGATATGTTAAGAAAAAAAACAACTGTAAATGTTTTCAGGTGAAGTCTTGTGACTGATACTACGAGGCACTGGCTGTGTTTTTAAAGTGTGCACAAATCTTAGCACAGTGTCTAAAAAATCAGTACAGACAACATCAGTCCAGGTTTTCTTATCTCGCTAAGGATATCTTTGTGAGAGTCAGAGGAAAACAAACAAGGCTTAGCAACTCCCTTTTGGCCGTGTAGTAGTCCTTTCCCTTTCCATTTACTCCCTGACCAGGAATCATAGCAATTTTTCCCTCATGTATTTGGTACCACTTTCTAGTTGAAATAATTTTCTCTTAGGTTATGCAAAATTAGAAAATGATTGATTCATTTTTGAAGTGTTTAAGCCCATCCTATTTAGATAAAATCAAATATTTTTACCTTTAAGGAAAACAAATCACCCAGAGTAGATTTCTTAAATCTAATTACTGTATTAGGAAATATTAATTACTAGGACAACATACTTTAACATGTATATTAGCTATTTTCTCATCTTGATTTACGTAAGTTCTGGAATATTTTTAACTAGGTAAAACTTTCCATCTCATTAAAAATCCAATTCATGCCACAAAAAGTTCACTATCTAGAATATAAAGTTTAAGTGAGAACACAGATGTTGTCTGAATCCAGAGCCTGTGAGTGTCTAAGCAACTATCTTTGCTTCAGTCATTTCAATCGTGAAACTCTTTCAAGATGCTCTGAAACATGGAGCAGTGATGGCAGTTGGACAAGTTGATCTCTTCCATTTAAAATAATCACAACAATACAGTTTGCTCTGTGTACTTATCTGTAGTGAAGGGTCTTATTTGCTTGAAATTTTATCCTCTTCTCTCCAGTCCAGCATGATGCAGGATCAGGCTTTGACATATTTAGTATTTTTTATTGCAACAATATATATTTTTTGTCTTTAGAACATTCAGTCACTTTTACTCAAGAATCACTTACCCATCCCCTTGTAGCAGTGGAAACCCATTTGACCCTTGGAAGTGAGGATTGGGAATTTTGATACCTTTTTCTGGGGTCACCAAACTTAGCATACAGAATAAAAGAAAGATTTCTTCTGTCCTAACCCTGACCTCCACTCAGAGAATATTGCTGAAATGGAATGTTATGTGAAAATCTACTAAGTTCTGTTTTTATTGTATTTCAGTATTCCTACACTAGCATCTCATTGATTTTGACTTTTGTTCTCTTGTTCTTTACTACAGAAGGAAAAGGAGAACCTAAATAAAGAACTACATGAATTGAAGAAGGAAAACAAGCTTTTGAAGGAAAAAAATGCTCTCTCAAACAGGAAGAAGGAACATTATGAATGTGAGATAAAACGCCTCAACAAGGTATCAGGCCTAGTCAAGCTGGGGAGATCAAATGAGGGGTCCCTGTACGAAGAGCACATTCCTGACAGAGTCACAACGAAGCCTCCTGCGCGCGTGGGTGCTCCCAGTCGTGGGGGCTTGTGCAGGAGCCCCTTTGTAATTTTGTAATTCACTCCTATCTGCTGCTCTCAGCCGTACTTGGCGAAGGAGGCTTTAGGGAATTCATGTCCCTGCAAAGAATCATCATGAAAAAGAGAAATTAGGCGAGATTATAGAAGACAGTAAGAACAATTTTTTAGTTCAAAGAACCACAAAAAGCAAGTGGGCGTTTGCGACCAGTAGCATATCTCTTGGTCAACCGCAGAAGTTTCCTGAGGAAACAGGCTGCCCTTGAAAATCATCACCAGGAGCTGAGTGTGATGCAGGCTCTTTGGAAGCATGTGAAATGCCAAAGCGAGGATGGTGAGGGTGCCCTTCTTGAGAATGATCCTAAAACTCGCCTTCAATGGCGGGTGGAGGGGAGTAGGTCTGTTAGGAGGAAAACACAAGTGGCTTAAAACCTTTGTTCTGATTTAACTATTCAGACGGGCCACCTGTGAGTTGCTGCAAAGGATGATGCTTCATTGTTGCATGTGTATGTGTGCCGTGTGTCTGTGTGTTTTATGAACTAATAGCTTAATTTTCTGGGGAAAGTGCTGACTTACTCAGGCAAAAAATTAAATCCTTTGCTGTTGACTTTTCCAAGAGTCTTATCACAAGTAGACCATAGGAATACTTATAGAATTTAGTTAAATTGAGATATTCATTTCTCAAGCTAGACATTTCTTGACCAAAGTAACACAGTCGTCTTCCAGCACAAGAGTAGGTGATTAGCCTTGAAAACATGCTCAATCCCTGCATTTTGGATTGTGTGCAATCTTGTAGTTAATTAGTGTTCAGAGGTGACATTTAAAGATTCCCCAAATGTTAAGAATGTGCCTGCATCGTTGACAGGGTGCTTTACAAATGCAATGCTATATTTGATGTGTGTGTGGGACATGTAATTATTCAGGAGAAAAATGGGAAAGTAGAGAATGACTGCATAAACAATGTACTTCTCTATCCTCTAAGAGAGAAAAACAACTTTCAGAGAAACAAATTCAGGGCAAATGAGTTTTCCCTTCTATTCTCTGTTGGAAATTCTCCACAAATGACTTAGAGAAACTAACATTAATTGAGCTTATGTTTAAAATGTCTCCCATTCCTGATGTATTATTTAATAAATTTTCTTCATTCTCTAATTCATTTCTCTAAATGAAAGCATGAGGATATAAAGACTGTAGAAATTAGAACAGCCAAGAACTCTGTTTTTTCTCATGTCCATGTACACCCTTCATTTTTGTGTATCTGTATTTATAGTCAACAGAAATTTTTTAATTTGTAAAAATTCTATAACTCTTTTGATTAAATCATATCTCAGTGAGAAAAATTAATTTGAGTAAAATTCAGTTCTTCACACAAATATCACCTCAGAGAAGATTTTCCTGGCTATCTTCATTGAAATTACATACTCCAGCTCTACTGTTTCGTATTTTAATTTTTCCTTAGAATTTATTTCTATCTAATATATGCTTATCTAATGTCTCACATTGACTACTTTATTAATTTCCTGTCTCCCAATCTTGATTGTAAGCCCCATAGAGGTAAGATTTTTTCAGCCCTACCTCTCTATCAGGCATGGCAGGCATAGTGTTGAGGGCACACACCAGTTTTAGTAGTGGCCCGTTATTATGTTTAATTTCTCTTAAAATCAGAAGATGAAAAAGAACTTTTAGGTTGAAAAAAATTCCAATATTAACATATTCATCTTTATAAGAATGCAGTTATGAAATATAACATATATACTTATTTGGAGGAAAGGACTCATAAAAACAACAGTCACAATGTGGCCCTGGATTTTCCTATTTTGTTTACTGTTGTATTCAAGTGCTTAGGATAGGGCCTGCCTTGCTCACAGTATGTTCTTAAATATTTGTTGAATGGGTGAATCAATGAATGAATTGTTAGCTAGTACATAATATGTTCAATAGTTAATTCTGGCACTGGGATTCATACTTCAACAGGCATGTCATATTACTTATGAGTAGTAAGGAAAATTAAAAGGGTGCTTCAAGCCAGAAATAATTTCCCACAGCTCTACCTTAAATTGTCACTTAAAAACACATAAATATAAAGTGATGAGCAATGAAAAGAGCTTTTTTTCTCATTTAATGCATGAATTAGTATCATGAAATATAAGAAATTATTCTATTTTTCAGGATAAATTTTTCTTTTTTTTTTCTTTCTATCACTGTAGTAAATAGAAGTTACTAAAAATGTTGATTTGGGGAACTGATCATGCTCACTGTCCATCACAGCATAGAATCTGGGGCCCACCCTACTTGCACAAGCCAGCTGCCTGCCCTCTCATTCACTCAGCAGAAATTTGTAGCATGTCAGCTTAGTAATTAGCATATGGTTGTCAGAAGTTCACACAACTGCATATGCTCTGTATAATTGAGTAATTCAACTTTGTGGCTTTGAAGGAAATACCCATAGGCATTGTTTTCATCAAGTTCTTGAAGAGAAGCCAGATGTTTAACCAAAGTGAGAAATTACCTGAGGGTAGTTAGCCAGTGCCACCCATGGGCAAAATTGATTTGTCTGACATCTCAGCATTGTGAGATGGGTAGAATTGTTAACAGTGTATCTGTGCAGATGGTAAATTACTATTCTAGAATGGGTTAACAGATGTTTGTTCAAGGAAGTTGGAAAGCCCCAAGATGGAATGAATATCTATTAGACTCACTTTTCATTTGTGACTCATTTGCAAAATTTCTAGAAGTGTGAATAGCATGAAAGGTAGACCAGGAAATTCAAATATAACAAGACCCACAGAAAGAGTCTATTCATAGGTGTAGGGTATGGAACCGGCATATTTCATTGTCTTAACTCATTTGGCTTACCCCACCCTAGATTCTCTACAACTACACGACAATTTTAAAAATTGTAACTATTATGATACTTCCTAGAACTTTGTAGCTTCAAAACAAATTCTAAAAAAACATTCATTACTAAACAACTTTTGCTGTTTCTTCAACTTCTTGGAGGGAGAAAAAAGTTCTTGTTTCTCTTACACCTTCCTTAAAAATGACATTTTGACCGGACTAGACAATATCCAGAGACCATAAGACATTCTACTAGGTAATTCTTAGTCTGTCTACACATATTTAAGACCATAAGTTTGATTTGCTTTTCCTACCTTTATGGCCATATTATATAGTAATTCAGGTAAGTGAGCTATTAATAGTATCATCAAACATCACTGAAGCTACTAAAAAACACAGAGGAAGTGAATTCTTGGAACTCTGCAAGTGAACCTTTTCTATTTGTATAGAGGACTCATTTAATAGTGAGCAAGTAGTCACTTTGCGTGTGGGCTCTGAGATCACACCAGTATGAGGTATGTTGTGTCACCATCTTTGGCAGCCATTTTAATGAACTCATCCTGAACCAAGGTGTTCAGCATAGAGGCAGTGGCTTTCAAGAGATCTGATCAAGTGTAGGTTATGTCAGGGCATCATGGGCTAGTAAGGACGGTAATCATCTTGGCAAATCTAAGTCTATTTCCTATATCTCCTCACCCCACTGTGAAAACTCCAAGTTCTGCTGAATGTCAGGAAAGCAGAGCATTCTCTCTACCCTGTAGTGAGTTAACGGATATTTTATTGGAGAACGAATAGGGCAGGTTAAGCTAGGTCATGGTTTGCTGCGGAGGACAGGGCAGAAAAGCAAGCGTATGGCAGATCTAACAGAGAGTGAATCAGCATAGGCTCACATTTCTATGGGTTGCCCCCTCTCCTATGGCTCTATAGAAGAATATTACTCAAATATCATCTGGACCAGCAGCACCTGTTTTTGAAGATTACAAGTTCTCAAGCTCAGTGCCCAGATCTACTGATTCAGGATGATAGTTCAGATTAAGAAAGACTCACATTGCTTCTTTCATTTGTGTGATATATATTCTTGAGTAACCCTTACAACTTGGAATTCTGAGAGGAAGAATTAAATTCAGTGACTCTGAGTAAATATTTCTGACTTGCCACTTTAAAGACTTCTGGCACAACACTTTTTTCCCGGTATTATTACTATAGCAATAGTGCTATATTACTATAGCACTTGCCCCTTAAGAAAAAATTGATTGAACTATTTCCACTGTAAATCAGAGCCCACTTCATTGGAAGCATATACTTAATTTGAATATATTGGTCTTAAAGTATTTTAAAATAATAACTTGAGATGATGGTAACAGTTACAGAGGAGTTCATATGATGTGATAACTCAGTTCACAGTGTGCTTATCTTATAAACAGGCTCTCCAGGATGCCTTAAAAATCGAGTGTTCTTCATTTCCTGAGAACTGTTCGGGCAAGTTTGAAATGGAGTGCAGCCATGAGCAGATGAGAACAGAAATGGAAGTCCTCAAACAACAGGTGAGAAGCTGAAAGTGGCAGGATCATGTGGAGAATGGAGGGGTTGTTGTTCTTCTTCCTTTTTGACATTTTTAGAAGTCTTGCTGTTCAAAATGTGTCAAAGGTTTTGCATTTGTTTTCATTAGAATTATCTAATTTTAGAGCTTGATAGGAGAATACAGATTAGATAGCCCAACTCAAACTTTATAAAAGAGGGAATTCAGTTTCAGGTGGATTAATATGGCTTGCCCAAGATCATGCAGTTAAGAGAAGGTCATACTAATTAACCTTTTGGTGCTATTCTGTTAGCACTGGATCTAGAAAGTTTCATATAGACCTAATTTATTTTTAAAACACTGTTAATCCAGACTCTGGACTTTCTCAGAAAGTAGTAGCAGCTGGGCTATTATTCTGTAGCTGTCGGCCTCCAGACCTTTGAACACAAAGGACAGTTTTAAAGCGAATATTCTGCAGTGATCATAATCACTGAAGAGCCAGATCTGCTATCCACCCACATGGATCGATGGCACCACCTAGCAGTTTACTGATGCACTCACCCAACTCACTCAGCCTCACTCCCTGTTGCTGAGTGGACAGCAAGAGTACAGCATGCCCTCTCTAAGCCTCTGCATGTGTCAGCAGCACAGGGATGGGGGAAATAGGACATCCTAAACTACTTGGGTCAAAATTTAGTTCAGCTAACTGGAGGTGGTATAGCTGAGGGGCCCCCATGCATATCATATCTCTTTTACTGTGAGAGCTTAAATAAGCTCATGTAGGTAAAGCCTCCAACACTTCATGCAATCTCAACAAATACAGGATACATATAAGAATTCCTATCTCCAAAGCACACATTGTAATATATTAGTGGTGGGGGAGAGAATATCATAGAACAAAGGGCTGGAAAGTATTATTTTTCTGATGTCCATGAGTACAATTTGTTGGCTATTTTGTTCTGAGCAAGTGCCAATTACAAAGATTCTTGATGAAATACACATAAAGAATTGAGCAATTGTGTTATTGTTGTTTACTCTATTGTTATTACTTCTTATAGATATATCTAAAAAATTCAGAGCACCTGATGATAAAGTTAGATTTTTCTCTTCTGTCAACTCCATTTGAATAATCCACCTCATTACATTCAGGATCAAATATATAGCTTAAAAATAAACCTATGATGAGAATAAGGGTAGTACTGAGAGTATTAAAGCTTTTGCAAATTCTCAACCCCTAAATTTTGGCACTCACCAGGATTCCTCTGAAAAGAAGTCCTGCTTATGTCCAGACACTTGAATCATCTTTGATGCTTTCATATAATATACACCACATGCAAGAGAGTCACTCTTATACACAGAGTTTGCAGTCATGGTTTACCTCATGTTTGATACAGACAATGACAGGTATTCTTTTTTCCAATATCCCAAGAGTAGACCAGAATCCATCTCCTTAGATTTTATGTGGCTCTTTTGCTAACTTTCTACATACACATTTTAACCCTACACATTTCTCATGGGGCACACACAATCATTATGTTACCAAGTGCTAAGTGAAACATCAAAGAATTACAATTCACAGAGAAACTGAGCCAGAATCTTGGCCACCAGACTAAAGCAATGATATCACTATCAGTATTGTTTGATAAAAAGCGTTCCCTTATGATCAGATGGACTTCTCCCGTTTTAGTTGCCTTTGGTAATTGTTTACAGAGCATTAGTTTGACTGTGTCTGGAACTGAACCTCAGCTCTCAAGCAGAAACAAAATAAAAAATAAAACATCAACTTGGCTGGGTGTAGTCCCCTGCTTCTGGTAAATAAAACCTTAAAATGAAATATGTGTATTTGCATCTAGATCTGTATAAAATGTTTAATTTCATCCTATTACATTTTGTTATGTTATTACTGACTTAAAATTGGTAAACTTCTAGTTAAAATGTGTTGCACTGTTGGTGATGAAGATGCAATGTGCATTAGTGTTAATAGACAGAAACCTATTAGGTTCCACTGTAAGTTGTGATTTAAATCATGATCCTCAGAGGAATACCTTTGCTTCATTCCCTAAGCTTCATTTGTTATCATAAATCTACCTACTAGAGTCTCCAAGCTGTCAGTCAACACTATGCCAATTAAATACAATAATAATGAAGTCTGTTTTTCTTTTTTATTTGATTACTTTTCTGGAAGATTTGGAATGTCTCTTGAGAGTAGTTTCACTAAAACATTACTTTTTTTGGGGGGATATACCCCCAAAATTACTGGGGCAACTTTCATGAATACTTTTTAGCAGTTATACTTTGCTTTTCCACAGACATGAGCCTTTCATTTCTATTTTGTGTCCAACTTATAATTTTTATTTGGAAACTGGCATGTGAATAGTGGGTTTGCTTCACCTCTATCATCAGTAAACTGTCTTTTAGTACTTCAAGCAGTATTCATACATCAAAGCCTTGTGTTAGGAATATATGACTTGCTCCAAAAGAGTGACCTTTAACACTAGGTTGGAGAGCTCATCACAGTAATGGAATATGCAGCAGAATAATGGGTGAGGGAAATTTTTTCAAAATATCATGTTATTCCTTTGCTTCTGGATTCTTGATACATACTCAAGGAGGAAAAAGTTGAGAACTGCCATTCTAAAGAAAGCGAAAGATAAAATTGTAGTCATATCTGTTAGGGTGGAGTCCCACAAAGAAGTATTTATAGGAAGAAGATAGGAATGACTCAGACTGGACAAATCTGGAGAAACCTCTTCCAAAATTATTTAAACGGCCTAAGGGAAAAGGAAGCTAACAATAACAGCAAGTTAATATTTCCTAGGTACAAATATATGAAGAAGACTTCCAAAAGGAACGATCAGACCGAGAAAGACTTAATCAAGAGAAAGAAGAGCTACAGCAAATTAATCAAATGTCGCAATCCCAGTTGAACAAGCTGAATTCCCAGGTACACATCAAAAAAAAAAAAATCTTTGCCAGCACATCTGAATTTTTTAATTTTCTCATTTCAAAAAATATCAAAATGTTTTGGCTTCTGTTAATTGACATTGATTTTTCTTTTGAGAGGTTAGCACCTGGAATGAAATCATTCTTAAACAATCCTGTAAGGAGATGAAAATGACCGGTGATTTCTTTAACTTAAATATATTAAGGAGTTACCCAAGAAATTGGATTCCAGTGTCTTTTGTAAAATCCAGTTCTTTTGATCTTTTTCTCATAATGTTTATCTTGGTAGCGTGGAGGTTGAACTACGTAGTACTCAAATTCAAATCTGAAACACTCCAGCACAGTGAAGTTGCTTCTAAATTCTTGTCATTTTTGTTAAAGGGCTGTGTCAGAATGTTCCTGTCTTCCAAAAATTTATGTATTTCCTAATATCATTTATATATCTGGTGAAACTGAGAATATGTTCAGTGGGTTCCCAGATTAAATTTATGTAACTGGAGCAGCACTCTCAAGGAAGCCAGATAATCTCAGCCAGTTTATTGAAACAGAATTTATTGAATGTAAGCACTCTAATATTAAGTATTAAAAATGGACTTAGGAAATTTCCATAATAGGTAAATAAAGATGTTAATGAAGAAAGTGTAGTTAACACAATTTTGGCTTAAGAAAAGAAAATAAACCACAAAATTTTATTGCAATGTCTTTGAATGAATAGGAAATTGTTATGGGCCATGCTGTGATAGCTCTAGAGCTTCAGGATTCTTAGTCTGAGAAGACATTTTAAACTATTCATCATCCTCTTCTTCCTAATACAAAGTATACTGTAAATTTAATTTATTCTCTGATGTTTTTTCAAGAATTAACTTAAATTCCCAATTGTATAGAAAAATTATTTAGAACCATTTCTTTTCTAAGAAATTGGAAAGAGTAAAATAGTGGTAAACATATAAGAAAATGCTTTCCTGAAAATAACTTATGCAACTCTCAATTTTTCTGTCTTACATGTGAAATCTTTCAATTTTTCTGTCTTACATGTGAAGCTGCCTTAGTTTCTTTTAAGTTGGCACTGCAAAGATTATTTCTTGTCATGTTTTAAGTTTATTTGTTCTATTACATTAAGTTCAGATGATGGCAAATTAGCATCTAAGACTGGCAGTGTCCTCATGGTTCTAGTTTTGGCACAACCAGGAACACATAACCCTCTGCTCACTCTGCACATGATTTTTTGATTCCAGTGTCATCTGTAATCTAAATGTCAATTTATATCAACAAAATAAATCTATCATCTAAATACAGTATAGTACAATTGTGCTTATGAACTATGGGACAATCTTAGTAACAAAGATTATCAGATTTTTCTCTAATATAATGATAGTCCAAGCATTTATTTTTCAAAAGTCTCATTGATTCTGGCAAAAGGATGATGGAACCCACAAAAAGATGCAGTAGATGGTTTAACAACCCATGTTTAATGTATTAACAGGAGATTAAATGTCATGATACAATAGAATTGGCATTGTCTTATCTGACTCTTGTATAATTTTCTTGTGGTGTAATTGGACCAATTGGTTGCTTATTCATCAGAGTTTATTCATTCTGTCACTGAGGACATTTTAAGCCAGTGGCTGTTAAAGTTGGCAGTGTGGCGAAATGAAAGTATCCTTAGGGACACTTAAGAGTCAGAGGAATTTAGGGGTAGAAACCTGGTGTTCCTGCCCGCTTTGACAATTGGTGATGGCCTTGAACAAGTTATTCAACTTTTCTTTTCTTCCTTTTCTTCATCTGTAAAATGGCAAAACTGGACTAGATCATCTCTCAAACGGTTCTTTCAAGTCTAAAACCTCTGTCTGGAAAAATAGGTTACTCTACCCTCCTCAATATACTCACCTGCAAAATATAGGTGGTACCGATCAGGATTTCAAAAAATTGTTCTCAGGGTTAAGTGAAAGAAGTCTATTCCAAAACATCTCACTTAGGTCATAGCTTACAAGTATTTCATAAATGACTTTAGTCTATTAGAAGGGGGAATTTTTAATAATTTCATTCGGTTGCATAATTAGTATGCCACATTCAGTTCTTTATAATCTAATTTTGATGCTTTCTGTCTGCAAGGCACCCTTGTTATGCTGTGAGGGAATAAAAGAATGATCCTTGCTATTAAAAGACTTACAATATAATGAGGGGTACATATATATATATATATGTGTGTGTGTGTGTATATATATATATATATATCTAAAATTTGCAGATTCTATATTTGTGAACTTGCTCATTCACTAAAATTTATTCATGACCCCCAAATCAATACTCATGTCACCTTCAAGGTCATTTGTGAGAACATGTAGAGCATCAAAACATGAGCTGCCTGACACACTTGCTGACTCCTTTGCTAAGGTGCAACAAAGTGGTGCTCTGCCTTCCTCTTCGGCTCTCATATCATAAAAAAGTATCCTTTTCATAGTCTATATAGTGCCATAGTGTTCACATTTTTATGCTTTTTGTTGGTGGTTTCATTGTTTAAAGTGTCCTCCAGGCATCATGCCATAGTGTTGTCTCATGTTCCTAAGCATAGGAAGGCTACGACATGCCTAACAGAAAAGATGTGTTAGATAAGCTTCATTCAGGGTGTGATTGGCCACGAGTTCAATGTTAATGGGTCAACAATATTTATTAAATAAGGTATCTTTAATACAAACACATGTAAAACAAAATTATGTATTGACCAGTCAACCAAACTGTATGACCAGAGGCTCCTAAGAACCTAACCCTGCCCTTCCTCACAAGCAGTGGGTTCAGTGTTTGCTGCTGCTGTGTCCACAGTGACTTTATAGAACAGAGCTACTGGGAATAATGAGAACTGACTGTACACAGTAAACACTGGACTATAAAAAAAGCACATAGTAAATATATAATGCTAAAGGGGAAGACCAAGGAAGGAGAGAACAATTCCGATAGGTGATACTTGGGAAAGTATCATCCAGCAGGGGACAACTGGTCATATGGCGTATGGGGATGTGCGACATGAGGTGTTGGGAGGACAGCAGCATGGTGAGAGTCAAAGGAAAACAAGCTTTCTCTAGAAGTGTCCTCAGATGTTGAGGAATTCCAGGCAGGGAGTCCTCCTAGGTGCTAGGTAGATGACTGTGCTGGATGAGGTTGGGCCTTAACCAATGGGAAGCCGTGAAGTGTAGCAGTTACTCAGCGTCTCACGTCCCAGAGTCCTCATCTGTAGAATGGGGTTAATATTAAGTATCACATAGGGCCACTGGAAAGAGCCAGAGTTGTTTTATATGAAGCACTTAGATCAGGTGAGGCATGTATTAAGTACATGAACAGCTTCTAAATTTTATTGTGGAAGCCTTCAATAAGCAGTGGAAGCTGTTTCTGCATTCATATCTATGTCTATATCTCCATCTCCATCTATATCTAAATATATAAACCTAAAAGTAAACCTCTACTGGCCCCAACAAACTGGAATAACAATTTAAAAATCTCCAATTTTCCAAACTTCATTTGGTAATTTCAAAGTAGAACCACTGCATGTCTGGAAAATCCAAAATTTGACTGTTCTCATACTGCTGTTGGTGCTTCACCCCTTGGGCTTCTGAGCAGGTCACTGGCAGCTGGGTCAAGATTAGCTTTGGAACTAACCATCTGAGCTCTTTTTGATAAACAAATGCCTTTGTTTGTATGTAGATAAAAACCTGTCAGATGGAGAAAGAAAAACTAGAAAAGCAATTAAAACAGGTACGTTGGTCCTTACCCAAATTCACCAACTTTATTGTCATGGTTGAAACAGTAGCTTTAAGTTTTACCCACACATTTATTTCCAAGTAGCAGCTCCTCATGGTCCTAATTAAAGATATAGTCAAGCTCTGTCTGCTACAGATGGCCTGGAACAACCCATAGTCTTCATTCTCAACTACAATGTCCATGCATAGATGATGCTTAAGTACCACCAAAGCATTTAAACCCTAAAAGTCATACAAAACACATGCTTTCCAGAATGTAGTACCATTAGTACATGCCTTAGTGCATGTTCATGCACATGGAGATTTCTTCATAGACCCACAAACACCTGGAAATACATTTCCTTGATATTTCTTGCAGTTGCTTACCCACTTTTAGTGGAAAACTACCTCAAAGGCCTGTGCCTCTTTTGAGGAAATAGAAATCTTCTTGGGTTCCGAAGCAGCATTCTACCCCATTGGTTCCCTTGTAGCCTTAAGGAACAAATATTGTTTCTCTTAATTCCTGATTTTCTCTCCATACTTTAGCTATGCAGTAGGAGTCTCTGGGAGCAATTTAAGAAAACTTATTTTATGTCTTAACTGCTGGTTCTTTTTAAGCAAGAACCCTCCATGAAGATAATTCAGAAACATAAAGTTAATTGTACTTTTCAAGTATTTCTAATTTTTTCAAAATGGAAAAATAATTATAATTTCACCTTAAGTAAAATTTGGCCTCTGAGCCTCATCTGTAGTGGTCCAGAGTCTACAGTGATATGTCTACTATTTTGAGTTACAATTATTCCAGATTTAGGCTAAACTCTATGATTTAAACCAAATCTTGTGGTTTATAAAGCAAGAGTCAGTATGACTCCAACTTCACCCACTTCCAGTGAACTGACAGCATTGTTCTCCTCAGATGTATTTCCCAACCTGTAACTGTGACCTGGGATTCCTGCAGGATCCACATGTACCAGCAGGCCCTGGGACTGTGCAGGATCTCCAGAAGCACCCTGTAAGTAAGAACTCTCACATCAACAAATAAGTGCTTATATTCTCTAATAAGTGCTAATACTCTCTTTTGGTAGAAATTTATCTGTCTTTGGAATTTTGGCACATAATATTGTCTACAGAAAGAGCCTCTACTTTATCTCAGCCTCTAACTTGCAGGGTTACAGAGGTTAATGTAAAGTATAATTATCTTTAGGACTTTGTATCCATAGGACATATAGATATGAATAAATTAACTGAAAGTTATCAAATTGAGCTATAATCCAATGAATGAATATAAAACATTTTATATGGGTCAGTTTTAATAGCATACCTGACCCTACCAACAAGATATTTTCGTTTATCAAGAAAACCAAAATGAATACAGAAAAACAGTCTGGGAGATGTCTTTTTCATCTGTAAACTTCTGTTGAACTGCTATGGAAATTGGTACATCTGTGCAAAATGGTTTTTGACATTTTCCAATTGAAAGGATATTCTTAAAGGATCTAAGAAAACGTGACCCACTTAAATTGTTCTCTATGGAGTGTCTACCCAGGCAAAATGAAATGAGCAGTGGAGCAATTATTTGTGAGTAGAATTGATTTGGACAGTCAACCTGAATAAGTCCGACCCGAAGCTCCCTTCCTCCTTCCTCATAGCAGTATTCCACCCACCCTTCTCCATGCTCTGGACTCCTGTCTCTCCTATTTTGCCTATGCAGACAGAATCTTTATAAAGAAAAAAAATTGGCATTTTTCTGCATTTTGGATTTGCTCAGACAACTCCCCTCCCCCTTAGTCTTCATTAACTGTGTGTCTAATCATGGAAAGAATCTGAGGTATTAACTGGGATTTCCTAGGAGACCACTATGGAGAGCATGATTCTCTTGGTTGCATGAAATTTCTCATACTTTTATATTTAAGGGTAACTCAAAGCCCTTTTCCCACGGGAGGAGATAATGACTCTTTGGATAGCAGAAGGATATCAGAATTTAATGAGCATCTCTTATGTGACCCTGGTGGGATTCAGCACACTACCGAGAGTTTGTTTCTTTTTGTGTTATTGTCGCTTGCTAAGTGTATTTGCTCTCCCTCCCTCATTTCCTTTTCTTCTTATCTGTTTGCTCACTTCACTGTCTTCACCAGATATATTTCTAGGAATCTCCAACACAACTATCATTCCTTAATGTTTTTTTTGTTTTTTTAGCATGTAGAAGTAAATTAACATCATGGAAAACATAAAGAGATGAAACTTACTTAGGCATTAGCTCTTACAGGTTAGGGAATTCTAGAAATAGTCTTGTGAAAGGTTAATTATAAAACCAGTGCGTCGTTCAAGTTTATCTAAAAATAAAAATATTATTTTAGGTAGACATTCACCTTCTATAAAAGCCCAACTGATTCCCCAATCAGTTACAAGAGGTAAGGTGGTCCAGATCATGTGAAAGTATCACCAAATAAAGGTCTGTTTGAATAAAGATTCCAAGCCATGTATTACAGCCTACACTTTCAAGCAGTATTCAGTTAAATAAAATCTCAGTGTAACAGTAGAATTTACAAAAACTCCCCGAATTCATTTTAAAATAATATTTCATGTTTCATGTTTATTTCTAAGGCCAAATGAAAGCACAAAAATATTATTATATTTTTTAAACTACAGTATATTCCCCCCTTCTGGCAGCTCTCCTGGAATATAAAACTGAGGCTCACATCACTTACCCTCTGTGTTACTTGAGACATCTAAAAATAAAGGAGGAGATAAACAACAGAGGTGATCTCATTTCTTTTTTGAGCTTTTTCATGGACCGAAGGGAGCCAAGAGCCTAGGTGTCTGTATGGGGAAGCATTGGGCCAGCCTCCACCACCTGCGGTAGGTCCGAGGGTCTGGGCAGGTAGCTGGCCTTCGGGCTGTCCTGGGGCAGTCTGGCAGCCCTAGAACGCTCCCTGTCAGCTCAGTGTTGGAGAAGTTTCCCCTAGTTATTTCAGGAGTTAAGTGATTAATAGAACAAAAGGTCTATATTTTCTGTGTACTGCGGAGAAATGGGAGGCAGGGGTTAGCATTTGGAGCAGGAAGACGAACCAATCTCATGGGCAGAGAAAGCTACGATTGCCCTGTTCCAAGTAGTTGAATACAAAGACACTGGACTTGAAATATGTTGAAATTTAGGTCCCTAGTTTATGATTTATTCAGTGCAGCTTGTTTGACACATTCCCTGATGATCAATATCTAGCAGTTTTTAACTGGGGTAAACCTAGGAGAAAATCCCAGGTGGGAAACCACATCTCATCTCCTCTTACTGCCTCTCTAGTCTAAACTATCTGAGCAATTTCCAGAATAATTTCTGCCGAGGAACAGGACAAAGGGAAAAATCTGCCCTACTTCACCATCCCAAGCCTCTCTAAGCCAAGTCCCCACCACAAGAGAATCTTAAGCTTGTCATTTTTTTCCTGATCTTCCTGTTGCCTCCTGTGTGAGGGTTTTAGAGAGTATTTGTTGATGGTAAAGTGCTTTGTTTTATTTATGGGCTATAGTAAGTTTTACTAAAGTGTTTATACTTCTGCAGATATCCAAAACACATCTGTTGCAAAAAGAAAAGAAAAAAAAAGAAAACATGCCTCAACCCCAAAGTAGTAGAAACTCTGGCCAAACATAGAGTGGATTTGGGACAGGGAGATGGTAGTAGTGATGAGTGAGGTAAGAGATGCGTGAGATTGGCAACAGGTTTGGATAGAATCTACTTGTGTGTTGCCTGCGCGATAAAAGCCACATCATATAATTATATTTTTAATGCACCACTATGTTTTGTTTGAAGTCATCTTGCTGTAATAATGTTTTATTGTTCCATACAGCCTGATTGTCAATGGTACGCTCCTGACCAGTTTCCGCCAGATGTGCAGCACAAGGCGAATGGTAAGACCACAGCTGTATTGAGCATTCTTTCATGTTTACATTTTAATGGGATCTTTTGGGGATGTTTACTCAATGTACATTCATTTGTACTTGGGGAGGGCCTACTATTTAGTTGTGTTGCATACACAACTGTAATTTGATGCACCTGGGGTTAAACTGAACAACTTAAGAAAAAGAAAATGTTCGAATGCAGAAACACATGAATCTCAGTTCTGGCTTCTGTCACTCTTCCAGTTTCAGAGTTAGTATTCCATGTGGGACTAGAAATGAAAACTTCAAGTAGAGCTGTACTGTAACAACAACAATAAAGCTTTGTGATTTGACTACAAAGGACAGATGCACATCCACTTTTCCAGGTTGAGTTTGCTAGACAGATGTTTTAAATGTCCCTGGCAGACAGACAGAGGAAACCAAAGGCTCAGAACTGTTTTCCCTGATGACTAAATATCAGACTCCAGGTTTAGGCCAAGGTTGCCCAGAAACACCCACCTTTAAGTGTGCTGGGAGGTGCTAAAAAGTCACCTATAAAGTACTGACAACTAAGAGGACTCTTACCTAATGTTGCTTTGTTGTGCCATTCTCCTCCTCCTTTCCAGAACCTGCTATACTTTCTACTGCTGGTTTTTGTGGTCTCATGAGGTCACCCAGGAGTGGGCTGTATAAACTGGGCTATCATCAGAATCCCACTTCTGTTCTCATCACATGGAATCAAAAGTCAGCAGTGTCTGCTAAATGCTTAAAATCTCATATGATAAACACCTGTGAGTTGTTAATTTCCAGAGATTTGATCTATCTAGAAACACTGAAATGAGTCATATTCCAATTTCAGACCATACTTGAAATTTAATCTTGTTTCATTTGTATTTGAGATAATCAAATTTAGTTTTAATATAAGTCCATTATGGAGTGGAAGTAGGAAGCCAGGGAAACCACATAGTTTTGAAGCTTGCAAACTTCATAAGTTTGAGGGGCTCTTTATGGTAGTTTATATAAATGGAGCCTCCTAGAGTTGTGCAGTGTACAACCTAGACAGCTATACCCAGCAGCAATGAGAGTGGCAAAGGTCATAGCTTACCCAGCAGCATAGAGAAAAGAGAGAGAACTCTATAATTTATCAGAAAATTTTTGGACTTTCTTTTTTCTTTTCTTTCTACTACAAATATAACCATTTGTTTTAATGAAGTTGTTGTTTGTCAGGCTTAATGGAGTTTTATGAAAAAGGCATATTATTAACCATCATGATTGTTGCATAATGTCTGTGCTTTTTAAATCCACTATTGTCTAAAAGCTTAATTGCCACCCAATTACAGCTTTCCATTTTGTATTATATTGGTCTGGAATGAATATTTTTTTCTCTTGTTAGTAACAATATGTTTTAATTTTTTAAATATATGTTTTTATTTTCTGATTTATTACCATATGTATTGTTATTGTAATAATAAAAGGCTATATAATTAATTCCCCTTTAGACTTTATTTTATGATCTCTAGTCTCTGTTTCCCTTAACTGGATATTAGATCCCTTCCTCCTCTATCAATATCGAACCCAAGAACAACAGAATGGGTCCTGCTCTCCACCAATATTTTTCTCTCCTCTCCATTACTATTTTGCTCTTAGAAATGCAGTAGCTGTGTTGATAAGTAGCCTGGGTAATTAGGGTTGTTGAGTCATACTTGTGGGAGTCATCTGAAATTCACCCTGCTCTAGGCTGATGCAGACTTCCTGTGCACACCTTGTGTTTTCATTTCTCAGCCTCACCATGAGAGATACATGAATATCATGATTCAAATGTATCTTGAGCCAAGCTATTGCAAGTAGATCCAGGAAAGATTTTGAAAAGACAGTTTATCAACAGTGTGGCTCATAATCCTGATGTCCAATATCTCCTTTTCCTCCGTTCTCAACATGAGTAGTCACACCTCAGGAACCATGCCATTATTTGTGATTAGTGATTTGCATGGCTATTTCTTCCGATGTGTTATAAGACCTTGGATAACAGGCATAAGTCAACTTCTCTTGGCCCTCGTTACACCCTTTCAATAGTGTGTGGTTTGTGGCTTCCATCTGGGGCAGGAAGTGAGGTCCCCTTTTCTGTGAGGTCTTCTCTCCTTTGCCAGGTGTAGGGTGGTCTGCTCTGCAGTCTTCAGGTTGTTTTCAGGGTGAGTTGTATTTGCTGTAGTTGCTTCTTTAATGTGTGTGTGGGGGGGTGAAGGGTTCCGCCTTGCCTTCCAACCCCTAGCCTGGAGGCAGACCCAGGCTCACTAGAGCAGAGAATTTGGGGGTCTGTGGGTGGATAACAGGAACTTGTTCTAGAGGAAAGCCTCATACTATGGGGTGGGTGGGGGGAGCGGGAGTGAGTGGTTGGAAGAGAGCCCGAGCAGGGTCCTCTGAAGAGTGGAATCCCAAGGAAGGGCTCCCTGGCCAGGGATTAAGGTCTGTAGGTACAGAGTACCACATCAAACAGTCTCTAGGTCAGCTCGTTTCCAACTTTGCTCTCAGTGATTATTTTAGAGTGCTTTGCGGTCACATTGAAAATCAACTCTACTTTCAAAAACTAAAGACTTAAATAGAGGTTTTCAAGCTATTTGAGATTTTCTTGCTTTCTCTCTGTATGGCATTAAAAGTGGCATTGCTGTACACTGGAGTCCACAGATGTTAATGGGTTACAGTTCCTACTTAGAAACGTGATTTTACAAAGAATATTTTAATCTCTTTTCATCTGTTATCAGAATGGGATGCAAAGGACTTCTGTGCTTCAAAAACAATTATTATGGCATAGCAGAGTTAGTGTGACCTTAAAAACATAATATTTGTTTCTTTCTTTGTGAAATGTCAAAAGACTATGTTTTCTGAGTGTATTGCATGACATTCACTTCTGTACCTTCCAAATTTTTCATAGGGTGCAGAGCTGAACTTTGTCTAATGAGCTGGAACTCAATTCTTAACATATTTGGAAAGACATGAAATGTAGACATCTGAGATTGTGTTGTGAGCAGACATAATTATTTCTCTACATATAGAAAATAAAAGCCCCACTCTTACAATAGGCCTTTACTAATGTCTGGTAATAGCTAATTAGCTGCATACTGACTGAAATAGTTTCCTAGGGCTACCATATCAAAGTACCATAAAGTAGGCAGCTTAAATCAGCAGAAATTTATTCTCGCATGGTTCCGGAGGCTAGGAGTCTGAAATCATGGTGTCGGGAGGCCATGCTCCCTCTCTGCCTCTAGGGGAGGAAACTTCCTTGTCGCTTCCAGCCTCTTGTAGCCCCAGATGTTCCTTGGCTTGTGGCAGCTTAACTGTCAGCCCTGCCTCCATCTCCACCTGGCTGTCTTCCCTCTGTCTGGGTCTGTGTCCAAATTTTCCTCTTATTATAAGGGCACCATCATAGTGGATTAGGCTAATCCAGTATAATCTTTTATTTACCTGGTTATGTCTGCAAAGACCCTATTTCCAAATCAGATTATATTCACATGTACCAAGGGTTAAGACTGAAACATGGCTTTTGGGACAGATACAATTCAACACCTAACACTAACTAATACGCCAGAAACTATTTCAGGTGCTTTCTGTATATTATCTCATTAAAACCTTATAGCAACTCTATTAAACTAGATGGTGGTTGGCCTTGTTTTACAAGTGTGGAAACTGGGGAACAGAGGGATAATGTACTTTTATACAGCTAGGACCCAGCAAGGACATAAACAAGCCCAGGCAGTCCAGCTCCAAAACCCACATTATAACTATTAAGCAGCATGGACTACCCCATGTTATGCCTGAGTACAATATACTGGCAGTGCAGTTTGGATGTGTTCATTCTAATGGCCCAGTCTTGAAAGCCAGAATCTTTATTTTTCAGTTTGTCTTTTTATAAATGTCTTTATATCCAAATATTACAGATAATTTTGCATTGGTAGAATGGCTGGAATCATTAGTTTTTTTTTCCTGTTTCTGGTAGTAGATGGTAAATATATTCCTATTAAAATATAGATTTTAGAAGCAAAGACTAAACACTCTAATGAGTATTCTATGCAGATAAATATATACTGGTATATATTTATAAATATGATAAAGCAAGCCTAGTTGAGAAAAATACACACAGTAAGTCTAGACTAGTCATTATTCCACCAGGTAAATAAAATTGCAGTAAATCTCGTAAATGGAAGATAAAAATCTATAATGAAGGTGTATATCATTACATTGCATCCCAACTGGGAAGAACATCTTCTTTCCTAGGTTTTCTTACTGTTTATGCCTAAGCAGCCACATTTTAAGAGGTTCATGAGCATGTACAGAACAGAATTCCCTCTCCCTTCTCAGTACCGTCTGAATTCAGGTTCAGCTGATCCTTGATGTGAAGTCTAGACATGACCGCTGTTACCAGCATCTCTGGGTCCTAGTCAGATCACTTTGGCATCATGCCACTTAGCCGTCATGAACATAAAAGCATGGAGTGTAACAGATACCACTACTGAGCGGTCAGGCCCACAGTGGGCTGTGGAGTGCTTTGCCACCCAGTAAGACGAGGCCAGCTTTTGTCAGCGCTGTGAGGACCCACAATTCCATGTGGCCGTTCTCCTGGCCCTGCCCCTGGAACCACGAGACTGGTCTCACGACCAAAGTGCCTTCCCACCTGCACTTCAAGGGGACACTCCTGCCTTCCCTTCAAGGAACTGAAGAGCTATCTCTGCTTTTGTTTAGACTTCCATTCTGCCATGGATTTCCTCCTGGGTCACAACCTCTCTCCATCTAAAACATGGGGATAATGACCCTGGCTTCTATACCTGTTTTGCAAAAGCACTATGAAAACTACAAAGGAATAAATTTTTCTAAGTGTTTTAAGATACCTGGGGTATGTATTATTAATGGATTGAATCTAAACTTTAGATTGTTAGACCAGAGTATTAAACTTCTGAGTCCAAATTTATGTTCTCAATATATTAAAATATTTTTAATGTAATGGCCACTGTTCTCAGAAGAATATTTTTGAAGTCTGGAAAAGCCACATTATCTTTCTATTACCAAGATGTTAATTTAGCATGTCTTTGAAATACCAAGTGCAGGACTGCAAGCAGAAAACACCTCTTGTATTCTACACTGTATCATAAATAAGGATAATACCTTATTTCTTGGCATTGATATGTTTTCTTTTTTCTGTTCCTGAGTAGACCTCTTTGATTTTGTCTTCCCTATGGTACTCATTTGTGGCCTTCTAACTCGGTCTTACTCAACTACCAAATTTCTCATATTGGTCTTCATGACACACTAACCCATATTAAGAACTAAGATCTTTTCTATGGCTTTAACAATAACATGCCCTGTACCGTATTTTTTAAGTAGTTTATTTGGCTGTTATCTTTCTGTGGGGTACGTACTGAACCTACGAGTAAGATATGTGACTTACACTTTCATAAGCAAAAGCCCAGGCCACCAAAACACCAGCATGACCGAGAAGGAGTGTGGAGCACTCCTCTGCAGGCAGGCTTAGACAGAGTTCACAGCTGATTTCGTGAAATGGTAAGCATATGTCATTGCTTAACGGGATGATCCTCCATTGCCAGCCTATTGATTTCACAGCAAGAACTTGTGGGGACTCATAAAATATTCCTTATATTTTGCCAGACTCAAAGTTTATGTTAGCCCTAAGCCCAAAGAAGAGGAATGAATGTTTAATAATTTTTAATCTGAAACATTTTCCTGCTGTTTTTCTTAGGTTTCTCCTCAGAAAAGAAAATCAATCAATAGTAAGATACACAAGCAGAGGACCGCACAGAGGGAGAGCTTGGCTGGCAGCCCTCATTTTTCTTTTTACGGTGTCTTGTGTCTGCCACAACTGCACATCATCTACTCCATTACTTGTGCCTCATAATATTTCCTTCTGGCGTGGATAGAGGAAAAGACTGTGACAGCTGAGATCCTGATCAGGTCTGAGGAGCCAGTATAACACAACTAAACACAACTTCCAGTTTCCTCAAAAGGAGATTTGGCAGATGGACTCTGCGGCCCTCCTTGAAGCTCTCTTCAGCATGTCACTGTTGAACTTACAGAGATGCATTCATGATTCCAGGGACTCCGCTTTGGGTGCAGTGATGTTGTATGTTGATTTAAATATGTATTCCCTGGGGGAAATTTTCTGCAGTTGCAAATTTTTAACATTGCTCCAATTATTTTTATAGGGGCTTCATTCTTTAGCCAGTTTTGTTAGCTACCACGTTCAGCATTGTTGGTCCCTGTGCACCTATAAATAGGACAGAAGAGGTGTATATACTTCCTTAAACTAAATGAATGGCTCCATCAGAATAAAATGGTAGACTTGAAACTGTTCTTTAAACTGATCATTTCTTTAAGATGATGAGAAATTGTTAGCCTACTTCATTTTTAGGTGGAACAGATTATGAAAGATAAAATCCTAACATGCTGATGATGGCTTTGCAGGTCATGTATACTTACAAAAGTAGTTCCAAGATACATGAATTTGCAGTTAAACCTCTTTCCTTCTCATGGACTTGACTAATTATTAGTGAAAAACGTAACTCTGACTTCTCAAATCAATTGAAGTGGAGAACAAATGTATCCAAATTTTATTGCAATTAAATTATACAGTGATATGACAGATGTCTAAAGACTAAGCAAATTTAAAAGTATTAATTTCTTCCATTTAATAAGGATTCTGTTAGGACCAACTGGAGATCCTCTTTATGAGGAGATACACAAAAAAGTGTGAGATCCACAGGTATCTGTGCTAAAGTACATAAAGAAAACCAGGGGCGTTGGTTGGAGCTGCAGTTACATAACATAATCCAGGCATACTGCTCGGACTACTCTAGCTCCAACTTCCAGAAGTTATGCTGCTTAATTCCAGCTCAAACTTTTTTTTTTCACTTTCTGCAAATACTTGAAGCTCTACGTAATGGGGAAGGTGAAAGAGTCTTAGAAAGTTAAATACTTTTAGCCTCAACTTTGTGTACTTGAACATAATTCTTGAGAAAGAATTGTCTTTCTCTTACATTAATTTTCAAAAGCTTTTATTTTGCTAATACTTATTAAAGAAACAAATCACTCTCGAGCAATACTTCAGCATAAGCAAATCAGTAAAACAACAGAATTAACACATTAGTTGCACTGAAACATGTTGGCATATATTTTTTAATTTCCAGCTCCTCAGATCAGTGAAAAAGTCACCATAATATCAACTTCGAGTGGTGGATTAAGTTTGCCAAGTGAGGTGTACCCACCTCAGAACAAAAACTGAACATGTATATAAAAAATATCCTTAATGGGCTTACTCTAGGTCAATTCAACAGCAGTAAAACATGACTTAACTATCCTATTACTATTACTGAAGTCATCCTGTCAGAAATCAGCAAGTTGCCAAACTTTGGCAAGATTGTGCAAATGCTAACTTAATGGAAGAAAATCCAATTTAAGTGAGACCTTCTTTAATATGAACTCCCAGTGGGTGACTGCAAATGGGGGAAGAGGACCCCTTGCTCAGAGTGCAACTGCCATTCCAAGATCACAGATTTCCATGGCCCCGGTCTGAGAGTCAGCCAGTCTCCATGGTGTCCCTCTCCCTGAATCATTTGTGTGGGGACTTTTCTGTCTCAGCTCATTATAAGAGTCACATCCCTCAGTGGTGGCACCTGCTTCATTATCAAACACTGTCTTACGGAAATTGTGTGAGGAATAGTTGTGTCTCTTTGAAAAGAGAGGAAGCCATACCACCAATCTCTTTTACTTAGGTAATGTCAGAATAGGCATATTTTAAGTTTTTCATGGTTATGGAGAATATGGTCTTTGGCTTGAAGGTATCTTTTGAAGAGAAAAGTATATTCACTTTGTCCTGGTTGTGATGTGAGGTCAGAAGAAACCCTTGCTCAGAGCCCAGTTAGGTCTGCGGGTTAGGCCAGCCTCTAATGCTCACTAGCACTGATTTTTTTTTTGGACCCCATTTTCTCTATCAACAAAAAGGATGTTTTGGACTAAACTGCTAACATTATTAAGCATGGACTGACTGACTGACTTTCAGATTATTTTCCTCAGTTATTTACTGAGCTCCATCACCTAGTAAGAGAGCTTCTATTATGCCCTTGTTATAAATTATTAATCTAGGGCAAAGAGAGTTTCAGTCATTTCCCCAAGGTCTTGTGGCAGAAAAACGGCAGAACCAGGATTCAAAATTGTTGGAGCCAGGGCCATTCCATTCCATGCAGGCTCTAATTCTTTCTAGATCACCCCAGCAAGTTCAAATGGCTTTTAGGGTCCCTTTGGGTTTTCATCACATCACATTACAAGAACATACTTCTTAGGAGAAAGTGTTTTGATAAGAGAAAAATACTGTATATGGTGTAGAAGTTTAAGTCACCCCTTAAGGGAAGTATTTCATTTTGACTATTACCTGAGAGAAGAAAAATAGACATTAAATGTTTAAGTGCATTAAGGGTACAAGTATGCTTCTGAATGGTTGCTTTTGTGCAACAATACTTTTATGTACCTCAGTCACTAGTGGAATGGAATCTAAGAGAATATGTCCCCCAATTTAATAACCCATTTTAGCAATTTATTGAAATACCCACTAATTTTCTAAACTGTCTACAAAGCACAAAACATCTCACACATCCTCTCTGTGCACTAGCTTTGGTTGAATATGTATTCAGAGGGGGGGACCAAGTCATCTAGCAGCCTTTATTCTCCCCAATTTGAAGACCTTTTGTCCCTTTTTTCATTTTTTCCATTTTCCTTCTCATCATCCTGGGGACCCCTATGATATTAAATCCTAGGACATTATAAAACCAGTTACACTGCTCTTGCAGTCACACTGTGATCCTTCTTTTCCTGGCTCAAAATTGCTTAAGCTCCAATTATACAGCTCAAAAGAAAAGAAAATATTTGCTATAATCCCTACTTTTCAATAATTTTAGAAATAATTTCTTTTCCTAGTTTCCTTATTACATATCTACCTCTTCACTCTCATCTTTTACTCCAAAGAAGAAAGATGTTATAAGGGAGCAATTAACACTCCCAGCCTTAGGGATTCCATAGAAAAGGAAACTTCCACACACACACTATATGCACACCCACATACACCACACATCACACACACAACTCTTCTGTCTCCCTGCTTCTGCCTCCCCAATCTTTCAGACAGCATTACAGTTCTCTACTTTCTCCATTTGTGACTAATAGATTTATTCAATGGAAAAAATTGCATAATTTTTTTTTCATTTTGCTTAAAATCCCCGTGTGTATAATATGTTGCCAAGAATACTGACAAACTATCTTAGGCCTCCTACAGAAAGTGATAACATTGAGATCTAGACCCAATTAATGTGCTGGTAATCATTGAGTAATATGAGGGAATTTTTAATGTTTGTGGGAGTGGGTGAATTTCACTAGTTTGTGTACTACTGCAGTCAAAAGTTAAAATAATTTCTCTTGGCTCTTTTTGCACTTGATTCCATTCCAGTATCAGAAGGAAGAGCACTGTATATGAGATGCATGGAATACTGTTTTGGAAAAAACACCCGAACCCTTTCCCAATATGTTTACCTTATTACTGAAAATTAATTTACTGGGAGAACCCATTTTATTTTTAATTGAAGTATAGTTGATACAGAATACTATATTGGTTTCAAGTTGACTGGCAGGAGTGTGCTTAGATGGCCTGGTGATTGCACTTGCACATCTGTGGACGAACCTCATGGCTTCCCTCCCCCTCATCTGTAGCCACGGGATGCTGACCCACATTAGTCAACCCCAGACACACACACAGCTGGCAAGAACAACACCCCCCCACACACACACTCAGACACACCTCTGCAAGTGGGAGAGCTGCTGTGCTGAAGTAGACTAAAAATGGGCTTGAGAGACTTGTTTCTTTCTTGGTTTCCAAATGTCCATTCCATCTTCTTTTTGAAATAGCAGTTTATTTTTTTATTTTTTAAGACCTTGGATAGTGAAGATTTCCTTTTTTAAAAAACTTTTTTTATTAAGGTATTATTGATATACACTCTTATGAAGGTTTCACATGAAGAAACAATGTAGTTACTACATTTACCCACATCATCAAGTCCCCACCCATACCCCAATGCAGTCACTGTCTTATCAGTGTAGTAAGATGCCACAGATTCACTATGTGCCTTCTCTGTGCTACACTGTTTTCCCTGTGATCCCCCACACCATGTGTACTAAACATAATACCTCTCAATACCCATATCCCTCCCTCCCCACCCGCCCTCCCACACCCCTCCCCTTTGGTAACCTCTAGTTCCTTCTTGGAGTCTGTGAGTCTGCTACTATTTCGTTCCTTCAGTTTTGCTTCGTTGTTATACTCCACATATGAGGGAAATCATTTGGCACTTGTCTTTCTCTGCCTGGCTTATTTCACTGAGCATAATGTCCTCCGGCTCCATCCAGGTTGTTGCAAATGGTAGGATTTGTTTCTTTCTTATGGCTGAATAGTATTCCATTGCATATATGTACCACATCTTTTTTATCCATTTATCTACTGATGGACACTTAGGTTGCTTCCATATCATGGCTATTGTAAATAGTGCTGCATTAAATATAGGGGTGCACATGTCTTTTTGAATCTGAGAATTGTATTCTTTGGGTAAATTCCAAGGAGTGGGACTCCCGGGTCAAATGGTATTTCTATTTTTAGTTTTTAGAGGAACCTCCATATTGCTTTCCATGATGGCTCAACTAGCTTACATTCCCACCAGCAGTGTAGGAGGGTTCCCCTTTCTCCGCATCCTTGCCAGCATTTGTTGTTCTTAGTCTTTTTGATGCTGGCCATCCTTCCTGGTGTGAGGTGATAATCTCATTGTGGTTTTAATTTGCATTTCCCTGATGATTAGTGATGTGGAGCATCTTGAAATAGCACTTTAATATATCCTTTAGGTAAATTATCTTTTCCCCTCACTGGACCCAGTTTGATCTACAGTAACCTCTGCTCTTTTGAGGAAGGAACAGTCACATGACCCAAGCCAGGACCATTGGACATTCCTTTGCTGGAATGTGAACTTGAAGCCAGCAAAGTGCCTTGGGGAGGCAGTGGTTGTTACCTGGGCTCCTTAAAACTGACCATGTTCTACAACTCTGTCACCAATGTGAGTGACCCAGTGTCTCTCTAGTCAAGTCTTTAAGTCATTCTGAGTTAGTTTCTCTAGTTTGAAACAAAAGAATCTTAATTAATCACAAATGTGGGAGTTAAAGCTCAGACAGTTTATGACAGGGGTATTGTGAGGATTGTCTGGATAATATTTATATTATCTTACAAATATATACATTCTTTCTATGTGATATCTTTAAAAATGAAAATAGGTCTGGTGGGAAGCTTATGATAATATAAGATCTCACATAACCAGATGAGTTAAACAATTCAAATGTTATGCTTGCCAGTTTTTCAAAATATTACTTGGATCATTGTGAAGCACATTTTAGTATGTTTTAAAGTGGAAAACACCATAAGAAAAAATAAAATACAATACTTCATTTGAATTTTCTCCTAAATCTGACCAAACCCCTTAAGAAAATATTTTAATGAAGCAAACTTGGGAAACGTTCCAATGAACTAAAACCACAAAAACTGAGGCCTAATTTCCTTACATCTTTTACAGAAGTGCTTACTTGCATATAACTGATAATTGACATTTCAATAGGTTGTTAATAAATAAATCACAGAAAATAAAATTCCTTTGTGTAAGAACTGTACCAAAAGAGTTCTGCTTTAAGAATCAGTGGTATGATGGTGTTTCTTTCCAGCAAGAAACTCTAGCAATATAAACTTAAGGTTATTCTATAGTAAAATGTAAATTCAGAGTAGCTCCTCAATGAGAAGTTAAAATTCCTGGTGGCTTCACAATTTCTTGTGAATCAGTATATATTTAGATAGCTGGTCAATTCTTCACATATCCTAATTCTCACCTTGATCAATTCTCTATTATGGATGCTGTTATTTGTTAATGTCATTTATTAGAAATCTCTTTTGTTTGCATACAACTTTACTGGGCATGCAGTGATGGGTGATACAAAAGAAATAAAACCATTTCCTATTCTTTCTGATGTCTAAGGGAAATTATTCTAGCAGCTGTGGGGAGGATGCACTGAAGCCAGAGGAGATTGAAGCTCTTTTTAATTTCCAACATACTCCATGGTCTTTGAATGTTTGTCAGAGTACCACCTTCCTTACATAAAGCACAGGGTATAGTGAGAATTTGGCAATGAAATTGAGAAAAATAATACAATACTCAAGCATTCTAGAAAACTTTTGTAAGCTTTTTTTTTTACAAAAATGTTTTATTTAATAATCAGCAAAATCTAGACCCACTCTGTCCAAAGGAACAACTTGATTTTAATTTATTGTGTATTATTCCTACTTTGATAAACTTCTAACAATATGACAGAAATCTATCTTTCCCATGAGATATTAAAGGTTAATCTCAAAACATCTATTATTAAGAAAATTGGTCAAGTGAAAATGGATTTTTTTAATGGAAGGACCTAGAGGCCATTGTTCTGCATAAATTCTTTTTTTTTCAGTTTTATCATACATTTTTCACAAGAAATTTATTAACAATATTTGCAAACTTTTAATGTACTTTTAGACATTTTTTTTTCTTGCTTTACCTCCAAATAATTTAACACCTATCTCCTTTACCTCCTTTACTGATTGGGGAGAGATGGTATATGCTAAATTGCTTTCTAGTAAAATGAAAAAATAATCAAGTAAAAATTAAGGTTTTTTTTACCAATACGAGTAATCAAGGTAGTCGAAGAGTTTATATCATACCTCCTGTGAGAGATCTACTTTTTGCACATAAGAATATAATGAATGGGGGCAGCAAAACTGTGCCGAAAGAGCATGTGATTTGGAGTCATGGACGGATTCTGGGCCTGATTGCACTGGTTGCAAACATGAGCAAGCATGCCTAAGTTAGCGAATCTAAGTTTCCGCAACTGAGAAAGGACAAGAAAACAATCTCAGAAGATTTTTGTAAAAAATTAATTCACATCAATATGTAATGTTTGGCTCTTGGGTGGTGTTCAATACATGTTAGCTCCTTTCTGTTCACTGTGATGTTTAGAGATTTCTCTCAGAAAAACACCCCAAACAACCCAATTAACAAGTAGGCAGAGGATTAGACATAAAAAAACAATTTGCATTTGCGATTTGCAACAACATGGATTGACCTAGAAAGTATTATGCAAATTGAACTAAGTCAGACAAAGACAAATAAATATGTGACTTCATTTCTTTGGAAAATCTAAGACAATAAAAACAAACAAAACAGAAATAGACTCATAAATACTGAAACTGTCCATTGACATAGGGGTGGCGGGAGGGGGGATGGGTAAATTAGGTAAAGCAGTACAAAGCGCAAATCATAAAAATGTTAGTCATGGCAATGGAAGTGCAGTAATATTGCAATGGAAGTGCAGTAATATTGTCACCAATAATATTGTAATATCTTGGTATGGTAATGGGAACTACATTTACCATGGCAAGCACTTAACAATGTATACAATTATAGAGTCATTATGTTGTACATTTGAAACCAATATAATATTTTATATCAACTTTATTCAAATAAAAAAAAATTTAAAAAAAAACCAAAACAGATAAATAAATCAGCCATGGAAATGAAAAGTACAGCATAGGGAATATAGTAATATGTAACAACTGTATGGTGACAGATGGTAACTATGCTTGCAATGGTGAGCATTTAGTACTGTATGTAATTGTTGAATCACTATGTTAGACACCTGAAACTAATATAATATTGTATATTAACTATACTGCAACAAAAAATTTCTAATACATTTCTACCATATCTAGAATTAATTAGAATGTGGCAGGTACAATGAATGCAAGGAGCCTGCCTCCCTAAGCGTTTATCTTTCAATTTTGAAAAACTGAGGGTTTATTAGTTTCATAACACACAGGTCATAATTGAAAGCTAAAGGCTATTTGAGTCAGAAGAGTTTATTTTTGAAACCAAAAAGCGTTTTGGCCATTGCACAAAATTTGCAGAAAATTATACTTTTTATCCTGTCTTGCAATTCTGAAGAATTTCAAGTAAAACTCAGATTCCAGTTTTTCATATTTATCTCCCTTAGAAAAACAAATCGTATCACATAAGGAAAAGCTAAATCACGGGTATGGATATAGAGCTAACAATCTAGCAAAATGACAGCATTTGTAGGCATCCTGATGGAATAAGACTTACATACACCATGTATGTAGAGAAACTTTGGAGATCTGACCATATTCAAGAGTAAAGCAGCTTCAGGCCCATTCTTGATAAAGTCTGCAAGCCACCTCCGATTTCCCAAAGAAAATTAGACTGTCAATTAGTTTCAACAGAATATAAATCCTGGTTCCTAATTAGGTCATTTCAAAAGGTGCAAGTACAAATATGCCAAATATATACCTGAAACTGTTTGTTCAAGCAGCAGGAAATTAATGGTAAGAAGCATATAATCCACATGTTTTTCCTATATAGTTAATCTGTGAAAACGATTTATATATATTATATATATATATAAAAATTTTTAAAGTACAGTGTAAAATAGTTGGACAATTAAAATATTCTAACAAATGTAACAATGAAAGAACTAAACTTCTGATAAAAACATTTTTTTTTCTTCTGGTAACTTTCTGAAAGTTCTTTTGTGCCAGCAATCAGGCCACCTGAAATGCATTTCAGATTCTTTATAAGGGATTTCCAAATTAATTGCTAAGGACGTTATGTGGCAGGTTATAGAATAGCAACAGTCATGCTGGTGTGACATTTGCCTGTGCTTAGACTGATTGCTAGAACAAGAAGCAGAACTCAATGAAGTAAGGTTATAAAATGTATTCTCCCATTCTCAGCTCAGCCACCCTCTTTACAATTTCATAGGCTCTGGGTCTAAGGGGTAAGAGGGATTTGGCAGAAAGAAAGAAGGTGGAGGGTTGATTGGTGACATCAAAGGACATC